ACTGAGACAGACAGGAAGGAAAAGAAGACAATCACGACTTTTCAACTTCTCTGGGCTGACAGTTTCTCTAATCTACAGAAGCAATGTGGATTGTGACCTACCACTTCTCTATTTCATGTTCCAGTCAGAAGTTAGGGCAGCTGAGCTACTGACAAGGCAGACAAAGAAAGCAGATCTACAAGTTTTTCAACAATCAACAAAAACAGTCAGCTAAACCAAAACTCAAAACTCAAACCTGCAGTAAATTGATTTCTTTGTCATTAAGTTTCCCCGCCATAAGTGAAGTAACCAAAACAAAAAATATAACCCTATAATTAAAGCAGCATAATCTGATTTGAAAAAATAAGTGATACGGCTAGCTCCCATTAAAGCTCATTTTTTAAGCAAACTATCTAGTTTTTCCCCTAATCTGAAAGAATGCTGTGCCTTATCTTCAACTGTATCACCAAATTGATGTTCATTCAACTGTAATACGATGGCACACGCGCAAGTTTCGGTCGAACCTTACAGAGGAACGGAAAAAGAAGACTTTTCAGAATTCGAGCTAGAATACATCGGAATAGCGGCTATACCAAACGAGCAACAAGCGAAATTCTTACAACTACACCTACGAGTAGCGTTTCTATCAGGCACTAGGACCAGCAATTTGAGCGAACGTTTCTGCGAGTCTCATAGCCCTCAGGGATCACTTTTACATTCCCCAGCTTCAATAAGTCCACGTTTTGAAGTTACAGCAACTGCGATTCAACCCGAAAACAGATACTACCAAGAACTTTCTCGTGAACTTGACAAAGAAAGCGCAGCAAGCATATCCAACACCAGATCTCGCAACAATTGAAGCACCTGCAGCAGCAGAAGAAGCACGATTTCATCGAGAAACTGCTCAACTGCAAGAAAGAATAGATTCTGTACATGACAATCGAAATGAACAATCTAATCGACTGTTCATTAAGGGAATGCCAGGCTGGTTGAGATCAAAGCTGATGGAACAACCACCTGCAACTACAGTTCAGGAATTGTGTCACCTGACCAAGAAGCAAATCAAATTTCGTGAGATTTGCCGAAAACACTATTATCTGGAAGAAGGATTTAACGACGTAAACGACGAAGTATCAGAAAAATTAACAAGCGCTCTCACAAAATTGTCCACAAACCAAAATTGGAGAAGCAGCTCAACGAAATGAGATCACATTTAAATGAGCAGTCGCAGAAACAATCTAAATCGGAAGAAAAGCAGTCAGAGTGGTCAGTATAGTGGCTATCAGCTTAATCAAAACAACGGTTATGGTCAACAACGAGGCAACAGAGGCGATAGATACAGAAATAATTGGCAAAACAATTTTGAATTGAACAATACCAAGCCAAATTTTCAAAAAATGCTTTCAGTTGCTCCACCGCAAAATTCCCAGTGGTACCCTCAAAACTAGCAGTACCCAAACAATCACCAGAAACAGCACAATCAGCCAATGGTGCAAATACATCCATCATCACAATTCCAACAGGAACAGAATTATCCGACGCAACAATTTGTCGCAAATCAAATGCCACAAGCTGAAAATCAAAATCCCAATAGACCCTTCGTACCAATGGTGCAATCATAGGCCAAACTTTGGGACGTTAAAAACAACATTAAAAACAATCAAGTTCTCAAAAACAGTAAAAGCACGATAAGCCCCAGGAAACAAAAAAATGATGAAAATTCCGAATTTATCATCATTAATTCATCTTGACGCCAAATTTGCTCAGGCGAGCCAGCAATTACCTGGAAACGCTTGTAAGAGTGAAGTGCAAGGTCTGTAGAAGAATTGAAAACACAAAACAAAAGCCAGATTCTGCACAAAAAGACGTTGATTGCGACGAAACGCAAAAACTTCGTTGAAAAAGTGGGATTTTGAATTCACAAAAAAAAAGAAGTCTATCGTCACCTTTCAGGGCGTCAGGCCACCAGAGGCACAAAACACGTAAAGGAAGAAGATGAGAACACTTCTCATTTATCAGATGATATCTGAAAACAACAAAACAACTAATAGGCACGTACAAAAAGTACAAATTGCTTTACTAGATGACAACTTCGAAAAAAAAATTGTGAATTTTTCGACAAAACAGAGTAACGTCAAGTTGTTGGAAACCATTTCACAACCAATGAGGCTAATAGAAGAAGCAAACCGCCCATGTAAACCTACACAATCGACTGCAGCATCAATGGAGCAAAATGTGAAGGACATGCCTAAAACAACAAACGGAAAAAAAAACGATGCGACAAAAAGCAAATGAAAGAAAACGAAGAACATAAATATTGCACGCCACATCAATTGCCGTGCAAATTATTTACAGTTGATAACTGACAACATCATGTTATCATCGAACTGACCTTATCATCTATCAATTAACTCCCATAACCCGACTCAATGTGGCTTTCTGTCCCCTTTAAAATTGTTTCCCTTTAAACTCAATTCAATTTTAATTCACATTATAAATTGAAGTAATAAACTGTGCTTCTAAAACAATTAGTGTGAATTAATTCTTTCGATAACGTGATAGATACACAAACAACTTTCCTGTAGCAGTATATATTTTGTCCAATTGATTGTAATTTTTTTAAAAACTGAATTATTTTAAGTGAAAACAGTCAAAAACTTAAACCACCCAGGAAGATTACTTATTGTGAGGTAGTGTGACATCACTGCATGATGTCATGCACTCTTATGCTATAATAGATTACATAATTAACCTTGTTAACGAAATGAAGTTCATACAATTATACTTATTTAACTATGTAAATATTGATGGTAATTGATACCAATCAGAAGATATTTAGACGGAGCTACTGTTGAATTGAAAACAAAACGAACTGAATAAAATTTTACAATCATGCTCTAACTTGCGCCGATCGACTAGCGATATTTCAGAAGTTAACAACTGAATCATGCGTCCTTAAAAGCAAGATAAATCTTAACCGCTCGAGACATATTAATTATGAATACAAACCAATAGTAAATGATAGCCAGTAGCGCTAATAGCTATTCGAACAGCTCGCAACTATTATAATAAACGACGATATAGCTGTCCACAGCCATTCAGCGCGCTCCTCCCTCAAAACTAGTTTGGATTGGCGCCCAAGGCGGGTTAGAAAAATTTTAAGTTCAGTCAGCCAAAATTGGATATATCAAAATAGTACATAGGGGACCCTTTGGGTCGGCAGGGGGTCGAATCCCTGAGGGAGGGGGGCATCTGCCCCCCCCCCCCCCCCTAAATACGCTACTGTTCAAATCCGCTATGTCAGAACTTAAATAGTAAACCCAGAACAGTTTGATTCGAGACACTTATATGCCATTAATGCAATAATTCAATACCGTTTGGATATTTCTATAGTGCTGATTTTGAGTTTTCATAGTTAAATGGTTTCGTTTGCGACCTACAATTGAATTGATTTCATTGCACTTCGATTTATTTGAAATCATTCTAATCCCCTCATCTCATATACTGCCTTCATGATTTCTATTCA